TTTCAGTGCATGATATTGACAATATTTTTCTGTCGTTATCAGTAGTGATCACTTGCAGTAGTGATCACTGGGACTTTGGCTCAGTAACATCATTTGCCATCACTGTGATGTTAGAACAGTATTTCCTTCATTTCTTTTTTCACTATTATGTTATTTAAATTCTTTGGGAAGACTTTAGACAATTTTTCTGGAACTTCAGTGCTGTGCATTCAAGGTAAACAAACAACAGCAGTATAACCACAAAGCATTGCTCCCTATACTTATGAAACATACTCAACCATTCTGCACCCACAAATTGCAAATGCCTAATGTGATTTCACCTGGGCCAACTTAAAATGGTAATGTATCATGATAATAAACACAACATCAGGTATATACCATAACTGTATGCCGGTGTAAAGAGTGGACAATATCTTCAGACACAATAGTATAATAAACATGCCAGGCGAGAAAAGGGGTGGTGAGAGAATAATAGTAAACAACATCAAGAACCTCAAGAACAAATAATAAAGAAATCAACAAAAAGAACATTATTATCATTGGTAACATCAATGGCGCTACCCAAAAATAAATCCGATAAAAAAAATTGTTTCAGGCACAGAACTAACTACCAAGGGATAAACTCTTTGGCAAAAAAACAACTTACGCCAAAGCAAATGCCGTCGTTTTAGCTTTATCTAGGAGGAGGTGGAGGAACGTTCGACTTTGCAAATCCTACCCATGCAAAGATGCCAACAGCTAAGATTACCCATCCAAAAATGTCATATTTGAGATCACTGTTTCTGCTCTTCTTTGAGCTCTGCGGCTATAGAAAAGGCAGCAACATGTAACTAATCGATCGTTGAAGAAATGTCTGAAATGAATTCATCAAAGAAACTATAGCTGTCCAAAGTAAACAAATAAATTGATTGAGAAACCACATAAGCTAATACTTTTGTGTCACAAAACCAATGAAATAATAAAAACCCATCCGTAGGCTGAAACCATGTCTTGACGTTCCTGCAACTATTCAAAAAATCATTTTTTGGTTTAAAGAGCGGGGGAAAAAACAAGAAACGAAATCTAAGTTTGGGTATAAGGAGGCTATGAACCAGTAACTGTAATGCTAACAGCGATGTAAAATGAAATGAGTTGGGTCCAATCAAGTATTGACAAATTCAAGATTGACTGGCTCGTTAATAATTTGAGTTCGACAAAATACTTGAGCTTAATCAAGCTTGATAATTATTAATTTTAGGTCACATATTTATCTAATATTTAGTTACTATGAATTACCTGGCACAAATTACAATACAAATGGTCAACTATGATTTACATAAAGTAAATTTGTTTAAAAATTATCATAATTAGATAATAGAGGCACTACAGATCACGTGATAAATATATTTTATCTCACTTTGTTAGTAAAATACTTTTAAATGTAGATAGCAACCTTATAGTCCATCCATCCCAAATTGTGCACATTTTGGGCTACTCTCATATTCGAAATTATATGTATCTCAGAGTTCAAAGACAAGCATATCATATTTTATGCACCTTTTCAGATAGAACCGATATTTCATAGAAGACGAGGTTTCTCAATTACATGGATCCTTTCACACCTGCACATGTAGCTTCATATAGTTGTATGTAAGTTTACACACCCTGGACAAATCCATCCTCTATCCCTTTTACTGCGGGTTTTCAGGCATATAGAGAATGACACGTTCATCTAGCCTTGGTCCCCCTCTGGCACTTTCGACGAAAGAAGTTCTCCACCAGGTGCTTCGTGCCCAAGAATGAATATGGATGGGCTGTCGTCTTACCTATGATAAGATAGTGGAGAGATGAAGCCTCACGGGAGCAGTTATCTCAGCTTACAGGCTTACGGACTAGGTTTCTGCGCCCATTCGATGCATTCTGGTGCCCGATCTATACATCTTCATTCGAGCCGGAGACGAAGTCAAAAAAAAGAAAAGAGGATTCCCATTAGGGTAGGCCCTACTTAATATCCCTAGCTGTCCTACCGCTCCCCCAGAGGAAAAGGCTGTAAGGAAACTCAAAATGGATGCAGGGGCTTACTTATAGACTGCAGGAGAATTCTTATAAAGAAAAACTGCACGCGTTGGAGCGGGATAGAGCCCGTGATGAGCCATTTTCCATGGAAAAGAAGTAGGATGAAGGTGATAACGGGGATAATCATTGCTGTGGTTGAGGGGGAGATCAACATTTTGACGGTTTAGGTGATCCTTTAAAATCATAAGCCTTCCCCAGTGCATGGGTGGGTGCGCGAAATCATCGATTCTAAGTCCTGGTGCCCGGGTTCGGGTTACTGCGTTAGACCACCAAACCACTGATCAGACGTTACCCTGACAACTACCACCCCAATCCCTCAAGGCTAGATGAAGCCGATTCCAAGCATCTCCCTAGAGTCTATAATTGAGAACTCACCTACTTGAAAAAGAAGACAAGAAGGAGCTACTTTTAAACACCGAAGTGATCAACCAGAAGGGACCACTAAAGAAAGCAAAACGCTAGTTCTAAGGGTCAATATAATTGAGCTGGCTGCTTCTTGGCCACGCCCCCCTGCAACTAGATATGAGATATTGGATCTAAATTCAAAAGTAGGAAATAGCATACCATTAGCTGATATACGTATGGGAACATGGGACCGAAGTCGTGTTTTAACTCTTTCCTCTTTTTTCTTGATTTATGCTCTTTATCTACCGAATTCAAAGTCAAATTTACAACAAAACCACAGAAGGATATTTTTTAATACTTTGTCCTAATTACGAGCCAAAATTTTAAAATACATGTAATTGGGACATAGAAAGCATTAAGTTGACTCATGTGCTCACAAGTATAGCATTACCTAAGTTTTTTTTTTTTCTTATTTTTTTTTTTTTCAAGTCAAATTCAAGTGGCTCGCAATTTATCTCACGCTCCCTTATGCCCCATTTAAGAAACCATTGACAGAAGAGGTGAAAAGGGACAATATTTAACTGTACGATGTTACAAAACATGAACTACAAGATATTTCAACCAACTATTTAAGAACCCCAGTAGTTGTAACAAATAAAACACTATAAACCTATAGCCTTATAAAGCTAGTAGAACAACTATATTAACATAAGAGACATAATTTAAAGTGAAATACATCTGATTTGACCATAGGTGTTACCTTAGTTCCAGTAGATAATGAAGGTTCTGGACCCAAAGCCTGCTGACCCAAACCATGCTTGTGGATCTCCACATGTAACTCAGGAGCCTTGAAGCCACACAAAGAAGAATAGAAGCTCATGAATAAGTCGACATTACACAGACATGATAATATATCTACAGAAACGTGACAAAATAAGTGTACATGCATAAGAATGTATACTAATGCATAAGTCCACATAGAATTAATCAAGCCACTCATTCCAAATGGACTAGCAGCGATGCACCTTGGAAGACATTTGCACAGATCTCCTATAAAGGTCATTTTGTGGCTCCTGCAGCAACAAAAGATGTAATGTAGCAATGGAAAAAAAAAAAATAATAATAACAGCGAGTCCTCATTTAACTGAATATACCAGTTCGGATGCTTGCTCAAGGTATTGGGTTGCCTTATCAAAGTAGTCCTTAGCCTCATCAAAATCTTGGATCAGGAATGCATTCGATGTGTATGCATTTCCAAGGCACCATAGAGCATTAGCGTTTTTAGGGTTGACCGTAACTGCCTCCTCCAGCTTATCAATAGCGACTAAAAGAAAATTTGAGCAAGCCAAGCTTGGTTATCAACACATAGTCTTGACACCTACTAAACTATCATCTAAATATGCCAATTCACATTCTGTATCGATTAACATGATTCTACGACATTTACTCTCGTCAAAGTTAAAAACAAAATGAATAGATAAAAAGAAGAACCAACTCAAACCAAAAGCAGCATAGCACTAAAGCAAACAAATTTCCCAATTCGAACTCCTAAAGTCCAGATTTCGAACAGCCGCTAGCAAAAATGTCTTCTTGGTGCCATTTTCGTACCAACGGATAAAAGAAGACATTTTTATTTATAAGATTAACTCCAATTCATGTAAAAGACAACTAAAAAGCAGCATAGAGAAATTAAGCAGGAGCAAGCTGGGAAGCAGATGTACGTTTAACCATATCTTTGCATTTTGGACCCTCCTGATACTGAGATAACTCCAGCAGCACTCCTCCCCATCTAGTCAAGTTCTGCCTCAAACAATCACACAAATACAACCAAGTAAGAAAATAAATAAAAAGGAAAAGGAAACCAATCAATCCAAGAAATTCCAAAA